TGGATATGGATGGGAAATGGTGGCTGTCAATTTACACGGAAACAGCTAGAGATCGAATTGATGCGCAATGGATGAACAGATCTATTCTCCTTGAATTGCTGAAGGATAACTGCAGAATCCTGATGTTCAGGTTGATGGAAATCCAATAAAGGCACACCAAAACAGGCTGATGAGAGATATGGACAATTGGACATGGATGGGCAATGGTGGCTGTCAATGCACTTGGAAACAGCTAGAGAATTGACGCGCAATGGATGAACAAATCTATTCTCCTTGAATTGCTGAAGGATAACTGCTGAATCCTGATGTTCAGGGAAATTCATTATAGGATACATTAGGCTGATCTGTTCTTAGTGATTATTAAGAGCAAAAAGTAACATTTATGTTCTTAGACAATTAATTATATCAGTATATCCTATTCCTTTCTCATTTAAACGCATTGATTTGCACTTTCTTTTGTTTTTTCATGTTGATCAAAACATGTTTTACTCATTTATCTGTAGTATTCTTCTCTTTTGACATTGTCCACCTTATTGACAATCTTTCATAGTATTTTTGAGCTAGGGGACAAATATTAGAAGAACGACGCCTTCTTGGGGGTGAATAAATGGCGCATTTGTAACAAACTATGGCAGATTATAAAAAACTAAAGCAAGGAAAACAGCAAAGAAACAGAGCAGCAGGAAATAACAGATACTATAAAAGACCAAAGAAGCAAGAAAAACAGCAGAGAAACAGAGGAGCAGGAAAGAACAGATCCTATTCTTCAATCTGTATTTTATTTCTTGATGAAAACTGAAGTGCTGCAGTGTGTTTAGCAACTAGTACAGAATGCAATTTATATAGAGAAATTCTCCTAATGTTTTACAACTTATCAAACTGAAAGAACCAACGTGCTCCTCAACTTATTCAGCAAACAAAGATCAAATAACAAACTCCTAAATAAACTGAAGACTAAAACAACTTAAAAATAAAAATTGACTTAACAATTTCTTAACAAGAATATAAGAGCAGCAAGTTTCACTATATATTTAATTTTTGTTTTGTTTTGTTTTGTGTATCTTTCTTACTTTCTGCTTTTTCTCCAAACCACACACTCAAATTGTCTTCTGTGTTTAGAGATGGCAACGGGGTGGGGGCAACCCACCCTGTCACTCCCCCCACCCTGTCCTGCCCCGTGCCCCACCCCACTTTAGACAGGGTGGGTTGGGGGGGGGGGGGCTGGCTTGCCCCCTTTTTTCTCCTTTTCAAAAACTTCCAATTAACTATTTTTTGTTTTTAATTTGTAGTTAATTTATTTTTTTATTCTTCACGGGGCGCTTCGAGGCGGGACACCCTCTCCCCGCCCCCCCACCAACCAGTGGGGATGGGTTTTTTTCGTCCCATTCAGGGCGGGGCAGCGCCGGGGCAGGGCGGGAGTGAGTTTTTTTGCCATCACTATCTGTGTTTGGTCTTGACGTAGTTAGGACAAAAGGCACGTTTGGTCAAACTTAGCTTCCATTTGGCAAAGTTTATAAATCATTAAATTTCATTTTCAATTACATATTTCTATTGACTCACAAGTAATATTGACTTATTCATCACATTTTTTTAATTTATAAATTATTGCCAAACGGAGACTTAAAAACTACTTATTTGAAAAGCAGTACCTTTTTTATAGAAGCAATTTGTGTCCATAAAATAGAAAGTAATTCTTGCTTCCTTTTAAGCTTAACTAAATGTTAGACATAGACTTAAAGGCGATATAAATGAATTGAATTACATAAGTATACATTTATCTAATTTTACAATCCAAGGGTTAAATTTTATTGATGAAATAAACAAATTACTTTAAGAAAAAAAAATAATATATTTTTATTTTTTTATTTTTATGTATATGATAAAGATTCTATGTACAAATGTTGAGAGCCGTTTCTTCTTCTTTTCGTGAGAGTTTTCAGTCATTGATTAATAATAATCTATAATCTCCCCGTCCCATTTATTTAGACTTGTTTTGTTTTTCACGTGGACTAAGAAATCTTATTTAATATTATTGGAAAATCAATCTTTGCCAAAAACTTTCATAGTTTACCCTAATTTAATTATCAATAACTAATAGTAAATTATTATTGAAAGTAGTAAAGAAATAAGGGTATATTAGTAAATGAATAAAACAAAACATTCTTAATAAAGAAACAAGACTATAATTGGAACGAGAAATCAAGGAATGGAAGTTTATATAAATGGGACAAAGAGAGTATTAATAATCATCCAAAACAACAAGTGTCGTATGTAATGAATTAATTTTCATCATTTGAAAAATAAACCTCTGTTTGGTCCACGTTTTTCAAAATTTATTTTTTCTCAAACTAATTTTCAACTAATCCTTCACCCAAATTTTATGAACTTTTTAATCACAAATTTCATCAATTTTTTTATCAAAATCTACTAAAAATTTAACTTTTAGCTACATCAAAAGGCAAAATAAGTGAAAAACTAAATTAAGAAAAAGTAGGAGAGAGAAAAAAAGATTAAAAAGTGAATTATGATACAAAAATGAGCAGACATTTAGGTGAGGGTGGGGTGTAATGTTATTAAGATTATGATAATTCAGGAGCAAATCTACCAAACTTAAGATTATTGCAATCTGATTTACATTAATGGACCTATATTTTCCTATAAAATCGTTGCATAAGAAAATCATGCAAAATACCTTTGAAGGCAGCCTTACATGAAAATGTCGAAGTCCTCAGCATATCTTTGCTTCACTGTCATCCTCCCTACTGTCTTTTTATGTACGTAGCTACAATAATTTGTATTAGTTTTTGTTCATTACTAATTTATTTTGCATACATATTATACTTAGAATTATAATTGCACGTGTAATACGTAGTGTAGTCGTGATTGTAGAAATCGGATCGATTTTAGGGACCCAAAGAGCTTGCCTTTGCTTTTAACGTTCCTTCTTAGATCTCCGAATTTCATCCTTACACCCGGAATTTCACTCTCGTTTGTCTCCCTCGAGTGAATTGGTTTCGATTTTCAAGAGCGTTATGTCATTTTTGACGACTTCCACTTTCAACCCGATTCATCATCCACGTGCCCTTTATGCTCGGTCGTTCCAAATAACACTTGTTCACTCCCCGCCTCCCTGTGTCTTACCCCGGTGGCCGGCACGGAGTTAGCCGGGACTTCTTCCATGATATCGTTATATCAAACATGTGAACTTATGATATTGTTATGATTGGCAGGTGAGTTGATAATTCCGAAGGTGAATGGAGCAACATGCTATAAAATACTGCAAGATCCTCTCTGCCCAGATGGGAACCCTGCTCCAAATTGTTTACCAGAATGCAAGAAAATGTGTGGACTGAATTCTAAAGCACTTTGCACATTATTTACTGAAACAACTCCTTCTGTTTGTGCCTGTGAATTTCAAGCAACTGACTGTACAAAAGTATGTTGACACATTACTACTCTATTAAGAAATAAGAACTGAAATAAGTGAGTAGTTTTGATTATACTTTAATATCGCGTTAAGAGACTATAGAGGTTCAAGCTCGACTATATAAAAAAGTGAATATTTGGTTGTGACGTGTGCCTAATGAATATTTTTACTCTAATTTAGTTCCGTAAAAATGGGTCATGGACGAGTCAAATACAACGTACGTTAAAAGTTTGAAGGCGTGAACGCTCGTGTTTAAAATAAAATGATCGAAATGTAACATAGACTAAAGACGAGAGATTTTCGCAGCTATTTTTGCATTTTAATAATTTATAATTTGATAATGATTTGATTAATGTGACATGCATCTACACCTAATCACTCCCTTTAATATTTTAATCTCAAACTTATGTCAACTAACCTCTCTACTTTTGAAGTTGGAGTTAGGTGCAACAATAAACTTTAACACCGATACTCGTTGCGAGAAGTCTGTATTAAATAAGAAAAAATGTAAAAAGAATTTTTATTTTACTTTTTAATTTAAATTAATATTACGTACCAAATATCGAGTATTTTAGCTTACAAAGATGGGCATGTGTCTTGTAATGTTACACGACATTATGATTCTAAATTTTATATTAACGTAAGATAAAGAGTTTGTAGTAAGGATAATTCAGAATTTCGTTATTTCACTATTATTTTTTATGGACATGACAAACAAACAAAACTGTCGGCAACCTAACAATAATTGAGATTTATACTCTTCTTTTTTTTTTTTTTTCATAAGGTGTATGTTGTCAGTTTCGGAAAATATATGTTTTGTTTAAAATGTTGAGATTATTAGTGTTTTTTTTTTTTTGGCTTCGCTTCTAGTGGAACAAATGTTGAGGGTAAGAATCCATCAGAAATAAAATCCAAGTTCTCTCGAACCTCTTACAAATATATGTGTGACTATTAAATTTGAATCGAACTTATCGGTTTGACGGACTCTTCTATTTGACCCAAAAGTTATAACACTCAATTCTAAACTCTTCAGAATCAGAAAGTTTCTTCTTTGCACCTTTATCTTTTTTTAGTTCTCAATTTTCAGTGAATGCGATTCCGTCATCACGAGCATTGAGCATAACGTTTGAATCGCCAATCATTTCTTGGACAAGCACAAACTTTTGCTCGACTTCAGAAGGTATCATTGTTTCACGTTTGCACTAGGGTAGTATTAGATGAAGGGCGAGAGACAACCTTAGTTTTGACGATAAATTTAGTAATTTTTCAAATTACATTAGGGATAAATTTAGAGGGATGGATATATAAAAGTAAAGTGGATATAGTTTTTAAATGAATGAATTTAATAGGGTTAATAGTGAAATAAACTAATATAATACATTTTATAAAGTTTAAAATTATGCACTTACAGTGAATATACTTTAATATAGACGGAAAATTTACCGCCGACTGCCGACGCTTAAACCGAGGAAATCAGAGAGTTGAGTCAAGCTTAAGAGAGAGATTGACTGGAGTAGAGATTCAGAAGCAGAGAAACAACCATTTCAAAAGTTGCAATTCTTGATCCAGTCCAATGATAGTCCAAGATCAGTCATCCACAAAATCTTCGAAGTCCCACAAACATTTGATCCCCCACAATTTTTCTGAACCCAAGAATCTTGATTTTTCCACATGGGTCTCTGTAAACTCCTTCAAAATCCTTATAATCACCCTCCTAACACTCAGCGTTGCAGCATTTTTCTTCTTTTTTCACAACCCCATCGCCTCTCCAACATCCTTTTGCTTCCAGAAATCCCATCTTTCGAATAATCCTCAGAAAATAAAGATTCCGAAACTTAATTTGGATAAAATCCAACCTATTTTAGATACTTCCTCGCCATACTCTTCATTCCATTCAGAGCAGTGGATTGTAGTCTCAGTGACGGATTATCCCTCAGATTCACTCCAAAAACTGGTAAAAATAAAGGGTTGGCAAGTTTTAGCTATTGGAAACTCCAAGACTCCGAAAGATTGGAGCTTAAAGGGTGCAATATTCTTGTCATTGGAACAACAAGCAAATTTGGGGTTCAGATTGGTGGATTATTTGCCTTACGAATCTTATGTTAGGAAGAGTGTGGGGTACCTGTTTGCGATCCAGCATGGTGCTAGGAAAATCTTTGATGCAGACGATCGAGGGGAGGTGATTGGTGGGGAGCTTGGGAAGCATTTTGATTTGGATTTAGAGAGTGTAATTTTAAAGCAGCAAAGGATTTTTCAGTATACAAGTGGGAATTCAAAGAGGACTGTTGTCAATCCTTATATACATTTTGGGCAAAGGTCGGTTTGGCCAAGGGGGTTGCCATTGGAAAATGTTGGTGACGTTGGTCATGAGGAGTTTTACACTGACGTGTCTGGAGGAAAGCAATACATACAGCAGGGCATATCTAATGGTTTACCGGATGTTGATTCAGTTTTCTATACAACTAGGAAGACAGGTTCGGTGGCATTTGATATAAGGTTTGATGACCAAGCACCAAAAGTTGCCTTGCCTCGAGATACTATGGTGCCCACAAATTCATTCAATACGTTGTTTCATTATAATGCATTTTGGGCTTTGATGCTTCCTGTGTCAGTTAGCACAATGGCTTCTGATGTCTTGAGGGGCTATTGGGCACAGAGGCTATTGTGGGAAATTGATGGTTTTGTTGCGGTTTACCCTCCAACAATTTATCGACACGATAAAACCGAAGCTTATCCTTTCATAGAAGAGAAAGATCTCCATGTAAATGTAGGCCGTTTAATTAAGTTTTTGATTTCTTGGAGGTCTGAAAAGCATAAATTGTTTCAAAAGATAAGAGATTTAAGTTATTCCATGGCAGAAGAAGGATTTTGGAATGAGAATGATGTAAAATTCACTGTAGCGTGGCTGCAAGACTTGGTTGCAGTTGGTTATCAGCAGCCAAAGTTAACGGCAATAGAGTTAAAGGCAAATGTTGACCTTAGTGATCGAAAGGAGTATGTTCCTCCAAAACTACCTTCTATGCATCTTGGGGTTGAGGAATCATTGACTGTAAATTATGAAATAGGAAATCTTATTCGATGGAAGAAGAGCTTCGGTAATGTTGTGCTGATTATGTTTGTTAGTGGACCCGTGCAACAAACTGCTTTAGAATGGAGATTGCTTTATGGCAGAATATTCAAAACTGTGGTTATTCTGTCAACACAAGCTAATGCAGATCTTGCGGTTGAGCAAGGCCAGTTGGATCAAATATACAAGTATGCAACTTCATGCTTTTCTTTCTTATCCCCACCCCATTGTGTTCTCCTATCAGTACATTAACTGCTGTTTGTTGATACTTCTGTATTTTAAGTGTATGCAAGATCTAGTAAATTATCTTCACTATATTTATGTCATTGTCACCACATTGTTCAGTAGTAGAAAAGGGCCAATACGGGAATTGCTCAGATTATGTGGTGAAGAGACTGCGTAGTTTATCAATATAAATTGCAAATGTACTTCATTTGAATTTAGTGCCAGGGTAATGATAGGCAGCAGAAAATATTTCCAAAATGTGAATTTCATTAGTCGTTTCCACCTTATGAGAACCACTTTCCTAAAATCTCCCTTGTCCCACTTTACCCTAAAACACAGGATCTGTGACATCAGCCTTCATGATCCGATAGTAGGTTTTTAATAATTAAACCATGTCACATGATTGTACGTTGAAAGAAGAGGTGGGGATAGTAAGAAGTGCATTCAGTTTTGAGAAGGCGATGATAGTGTCTTTGTAGGTTCCTTTTCATTAAATATTTTACCCACAAGGGGGCATGGGAAAAAAAAAAAACACTTTAGAATAGTGATAAAAGTGTCCTAGGAAGGATTTAGAGATCCTTCCATAAGATCCAGCGTCCCCATATTCTGCTTTAAAACACCCGAAACTTATATTGTAACTGTACTGCATCTCTGAGAATTTTTTTTTTTGGGTCTATGAATAAGCTTTTCTTACAGAAAGTACATAACCTGGAATGAACCTCAGAGGATCCTACTGTAAGTATAATTGGTTAAAAGGGAATTTAACTGTCTGACGAGATAGGGGAGAAAACATGAGGAAATTTGATTTTGAAATAATTTATATTAAAACACAGAAATGATTATGTAGAACATTCTAGACTTATTTGGTTGGTGGTTTTTGGCATTTAATAAAGTTTCTTATTGCCACGATAATAGTGGAAGATCGATTGGGCAATGATTGTGAAGATTTATGCAGAAAGGAGAAGATAACACAAGCAAACCTAGTACCATATGGGTTTTAGATAAGCAGTTTAGCAATATGTAATGAGAGAATAACAAAATCAACTGAATGTGACCTCAGGAAAATTAACAATTTTCATATGCCTATGATTAGCCCATAAATCTGCTCTCAAATGTTAAATGTCAACAAATTAATTATATGTAACCTCTCTTTATTCTTGTTGCTGGACAAATTTATATATTTTTTTCTCTTCATTGTCAATTATATCTTCATATTTAGTATTCATTATGCATTTCTGCCGAAAGAACTATCAATCATCTGTTGATGAGGGAGGAAATCTGTTAATAATATGTTCATTCTGCTTACACTCTATTTATGGGGCCGCAGGTACCTTCGAAAGATATTTGATAGGTTTAATAGCACAGAAGGTTTCCTCGTCCTGCATGACAACACAATTTTAAATTACTGGAATCTGTTGCAAGCTGATAGATCTAAGCTGTGGATTGCCAACAAGGTATCCTGAGCTAAACTTGACTGTTTTGGTGCCACCTCTCCCTGCCCTTCTCTTGCTTCTGACTGAGAAATTTTATGCAGGTTCCGACATCTAGGACAGTGGTTGATGGTAAGGACACCACATGGTTCACAAAGCAATCCAATATGGTAAACAGAGTTGTGAGCAAAATGCCAGCTCATTTGCAAGTTAATTACAAGGAAAGCAGTCCGAGCGAGCAGAGCCTTGCTCTGTGTGGTTCTGAGGTCTTTTATATTCCTCGTCGTTTTGTTTCCGACTTTGTTGATCTTGTAGACCTAGTTGGTGATTTTGAAATCCACTATAAGATTGCTGTGCCAATGTTTTTTATGGCTATGGATCTACCCCAGAATTTCGACCCTTTGCTGAATAAAATGATTTACAATACAGAAGCATTATCCACTAGATCCTTCGATTTCTACTCTGCTCAAGTACCAGCAGTGCACCCCTGGATTGTTTCCACCGAGTCTGATTTTGTGAAATTGATTAGGCTCATGGCGGCAGGTGACCCTCTTCTAATGGAACTGTTCTAAAATAAACTAATGTCCTATCCAAAATTGTGCAGAGAAAGGCACATAGATACTATCATTCTCAGAAACAGTACTGCCTTTATCATTCAAAATCTGTATATTAATCTTGTATCAAACAACTACCTGTTATATTCTTTTGGAATTCATTTATACATTTCAATGATAGATTGCAGATAGCATAGATGAACACAAGGTTGTTGCATTATTTATTCTTGTGCTGTCATGTAGTTTAATTTTCTCTTTCGTGTGGGGTGAGGGCTTGGCTTGCAAAGAAGGAAGAAAAAGGAGTGCCAGTCGAGCCTAGGTTTTCCATTCCAGGACTAGTTACAAAACCATTTTGATGGTGAATTGAACTGGATGTTGATATCCATTTGATGTACAGTCAATATATCTGAAGAACAAAATAGTTCAAGAAACCAAGATTTATGGTGCAAATTTCTTGAATTTTATGTACTTGCACAAATGAAGAAGGTTAACAATTTCACCCGCTCGTCTACATGACAAACACCCCTTGTTTTAAGTGAAATATTTCTGATACAGATACAGATCCTTCGCAATAAGAAGGGCATAGCCCTGAGCTTTTACCGGGTAAAGTTCCCGACCTGCTTGCCACTTGTTCGAGAATGTGATTCACTCTTTTCTCCATTCGTCCAACTTGAAGTGCTTATTTTCTTTCAAGGTTTTCAACAAATGTGTGAAGTACATTGGTTTCCCATAGTCATGAAGTAGGTTCTGAAAATCCTCGTGTTATTGTACCATATTGTCACTTGCGTCCTTGCATTCCTCTCGTACTAAATCAATCATAACCCATGATGACAATCAGCTCAGCTTCACGAAGAACAAGCGCACAAGTGATTGCTGAGCTTAGTATCTTTAAATATCGAAAAGGTCATGGCTTTCATATTACTAGTATAAACGATTTCGAAGTATACTGTCCAGAAACTTAATGGTGAACTAGGTTGAGTTTAATAAAGTAAATGACTTGACTCAATTTGAAAAAGGGAAGCATATAGAAAGTACGAAATTCTCAACTGTTTCAACTCATCTGCATTTACTGCCAACTTTTTAGCACTTACGAGCCACATACCACAAGTAGAAAGTTATCATCTGCAGCAAGAAGTTCACCAATGTCTTTGGTGACATGTGGGAACTCTCGATTATGCAAACTTAAAGATTTTGCATCCCGACCCCAAAAAGTAGCCATTGCATTTAGATCATGGGCGGATCCAGGGGTGGGCTGCAGTGGGCTGGGTGGGCTGCACTGGGCTACAGCCCAATGCAGCCGAAGCCCAAATGTATTAAAAATTAATGTTAAATGGTTGTAGCCCACTGTTTAGCCCAGTAGTCAGTAGCCCAATTGAAAACTCATTAACCCAATTAATTCCCAATGACCCAATTCTTCAGCATTTCCCAAACCCTTTCACTCCGGTTTGAGCAGCAGCCCCTGGGTTTTACTTTCAACCAAAACTTTTCAGTCTTCCGTCCGGCGAAGTAGCGAACAGGAACGACCGAAGTCTTCTTCTTCAGCCATTCAGCCAGTCAGGTCAGCAGAATCAGGCTTCAGCATTCGGTTTCGAACCTAGAAGTTCTTCTCTTCACTGCTTCTGCGCTTCAGCCTTCAGGCTTCAGACGTGAGACGACAGAGACTTCGGTAGTTCGGCTTCTTCAACAATCAGCATGTACTTTTATTTTCAAGTACAACACTTTAATTTTATGATTTTTATTTATGATTTATGAATGATTTTCTTGGGGATAAATTGGGAATGATGATGAATGATTTATAAATTGGGGATAAAAGTTGGTTATAAATTGATTATAAATTGGGGATAAAAGTTGGGGATAAGTTGGGATTCACAGCATCGATTTATGAATGATTTTATCCAATTGAATGATTTTTATTTAACCGTGAATCTGTGATTGAGTGAAAATTGGGGATAAAAGTTGTGATAGTCATTTACAGTTACAGATTACTCATTTAGCTGTGAATCATGTGATTTTTATTTGTTCACATGTG